TTTACTAACTTCATGGCAGGGTTACAAGGACTAAAAAACATCCAAATAGGCATAAATTGACAATTACTAAGGAGGAGATCCTTCTACAATAGATATTATCTCAGGATAGGCATGGAATGCCTCCACGGCCAGCTGCTATATAAGATATGGCCAATATTTTGCTTTCTAAGCGCAGTCCAGCAGATTCTCGACTCTATGTTGGCAAGAACTGGGTTTCTACCTTCATCAACCGCCATGAGGAGCTTAAAATGCAATATTTGTAATAATATAACTATCAGTATGCCAAATATGAGGATCCAAAGATTATTAGTAAATGGTTTGACTATATACAAAGCACTATTCAACAATATGGCATTCTTGAAGATAATATCTATAATTTTGATGAAACAGGTTTTGCAATAGGCCTGATTACTACTGCAAAGGTAGTTACTAGAGCAGAGATATCTGGTTATCCACCTCTTCTACAGCCTAGGAATAAGGAATAGGTGACAGTTATTGAATCAGTTAATTCAGCAGGATGGATACTACTACTATATATTATTTTTAAAGGGAAGACTCATCTCTAGGCCTAGTATGAGGATCCAGCCTTACTATGCAACTGGAGAATTGAGAAAAGTCTTAATAGGTGGACTATAGATAAGATTAGCATATCATGGCTTCAAAATCTCTTCATCCTATATATAAATACTTGGACAAAGGGTAAATATCAACTATTAGTCCTTAATGGGCATAGTAACCACCTAATGCCTTAATTCAATTGCATCTATGCCTAGAATAATATTATACTAATCTGCATGCCTCCTTATTTATTGCATCTGCTGCAGCTTCTTAATGTTAGCTGTTTTGCAGTTCTAAAGCATATATATGGACCTTAAAGAAAATAATATGGCACTTAGAATTAATCATATTAACAAGCTGGATTTCCTTGAAGCATACCCTAAAGCTCATATAGAAGCCTTCAAATCAGAGAATATCAAGAATGGCTTTATAGCAACTGGATTAGTACTATTTAATCCAGAACAGGTCCTTACACAGCTTAATATATAGCTTAAGACCCCTATACCCCCTAGAAGCTATGCTGGCAGTACCCTGGCCAATTGGACACTGAAGACACCTTATAATATTATTGAATTACAGCATCAGGCAACTATAATCAAGGCATTACTTAAACAGCATATATAGAGCCTACCAAGCCCTACAAATATAGCCCTAAATTAGTTTATTAAGGGCTATTAATTAGCTATAAATAGTGTTACTGTTCTTACTAAGGAAAATCATGATTTATGGGGCTGCAAATAAGAAGCAGAAGCAAAAGCACAAGCAATCGACCAATCAGATATCTCATGAAGGGTGTCTTTTAGTCCAAGAAGCACAGGATCTTATTCAGAGTCAAATTTCAGGTGAAAATCAGATACAGGGGTAGCAGAGGGTACAGCCACTCCAGCTATAGAGGTGGCTTCTACCCCTTATTTGCATGTACTACCAAGGTGTAGTGATTGTCATATTCTAGGACATAATAGGCATCCTGAGTCGCTCTAATACATGATTTTTTGTATATAATTGGTATTTTGGGTGGATAATACAGCTTCAAATTCTATATAGGATTTGCATGGTGCAGGAAGTGGTTCGCTCGGCCGGGAATTACGTTATTTTATCTAGTTAACTAGCTAATTTCTTACCTAATTCTTTACTAAGTTATTTAAAAATCTCTTAACCTAATAAAACCTCTATTATAGTAAGTATAAGGATTCCTTAATTAATAAGTAGTAATATTACTTTAATTAGGTAATTAACTAATTTCTATTTTAAGAAGGTACTATATTACTTACTTTTTATAATCTTAATACCCCCTAAGTCTTTCCCCTCCTCCTCTTTTACTTTTTTTCTTCTTCTTTAGAACCTTATGTCTATTAATATTTATCTTATTCTTTATTTTATTCCCCCCTTTAAACTCTTATATTAAATTATATTATCCTTAAAGACTTTATAGGCTTTTAATCCTTATAGATTCTCTATTATAAATAATATACTCTTTTCCCTCCTTTTATTTGCTTCTTTACTAAAATTATTAATTCCTCTCTCTAAACTATTATAGGTTAGATAAAACCTTAATTCTTTTATTTTTTGCCCTTAAATTACTTATTAGGTAGGTCTTCTAAATCCTTGGATAGTTAAGTAAATAGATTCTTTCTTACCTTCTATTATATTAACTATATAACCCCCCTAACCTATTAGATTATATATTAAGTTATATATTAAGTTGGTTATTATATAAAATTTTATATTAGCCCCTATATTATAGGTTAGCCTAAACTAAAGAGATCCTATATAATAATAGCCTTACTTTTAATAGCTTACTATACTTTAAGCCCTTATTACTATAGTATAATAGGCTACTTAAGCTATTAATATTACATTTACTTATTAGGATCCTTTTTTTAATAAAATCCTAGATAATCTATTAAATATTAGGGATATCCTTTAAAGACTACTTTATTAGTAGCTTATATCTAATTATTAATATATAGATATTAGGTTCTTTTATTTAGATATACCTTTAAATAAGGACTAAAAGATACTATTAATAAAGAAGACAAAATCTACTATTAGAATATCTATACCTTTACTAATTATTTATATATTAATATATATAGTTATAAGATATAAAATATTCTAGAACCTAAATACTTATCTCTAAGGTTTTTAAAATAGAATATTAATAGAATACTAAACTCTTTAATATTATCTATTAAGGGCTTATCTATAGTAATTCTATAAAAAATTAGTATTATAAGCTTAAAAAATAGTTTTAGTTATTACCTAAATAGGCCTAGAATAACCTTAAGGATACCTAGTTATAAAGGTATTATCTTATAATAGTATCTTAGTAATAATTACTATAGTTAAACAAGTCTATCTTTATTATATAGATATTTATGAGCATGTAGGGGCTGGTCCAAAGTGTCTGGAGGTTAGACTATAACTACTATAAGCTTAGTGAGGGTTTTAGTAGAGCATAATAGGACAGTAGAGAAGCACAGGAAGTATAAGACTACTATTTAAAATAGTATCTAACTAAGGACTATAGGAGATAAGGCAGACTAATTATTAAGGTCTAAAAGACTTAGTACTTATTTAGGGGTTATATATACCTTAGATTACTAATTTAGTTTTATAGGTTATATAGCTCTAGACCCCTTAGTCTAAGAGTTATATAATTTATAAATATCTAGTTTATAAAGTCCTTAAGCCCTTTAGTATTATAGTCCTCCCCCTTTTTAAAGGCCTCTAGACCTTAGGCTATTTATTCTTATAGTTCTTGATATTATATGTTAGCTAGTCTAATAATATATAGATTATATAATATTTAAAATTAAATAGTATTAATATATTAATAGATAGCCCAGAGCTTTTTTATATAAAGATTAGGTACTTTAATAGTAATTATAGATATATATAGTAGTAAATCTTGTAGTAATAATAATATTAATAATAACTATAATAATAGTAATAATAGTAATAGCCTCTTTATTTTAATTTATTTATTAGGGACCTATTAGGTCTATTAACTAAGTTAATAAACTATCTTAAGTATAATATTAAAAAGATAGTATAAGAATAGATATTTTATAGTAAGTTAAATAATATAATATACTCTAAGGGTAAAAGGCTAATAAAATATTAATATAGATTATTAATAAAATATTTAATTTATTATAGTAAGAGGAGGGTACTTTTTAAGGCTTATTTTTTTTATATATTTAATCTTTTAATATAGCCTTTAGGCCTAATTTAAAAAGTTATTTCTTTTTTAAGCTTACTCTCCTTTTATAACTACCTTTATAGCTATTATTATTTCTATTTTTAGCTTTATTTTAATATATTACTAATATAGGCTTATCTAACTAAGTAGGTTTTTAATATTTTAATATCTTTAAGATTCTCTTTTAATTCTTAGGTATCCTCTTTATAGTTATACCTTTTCTAATAAACTAGGTACTCTTTAACCTTATAGTAGGTTTAATATACTGTAATCTTATTAATTATATATTCTTTTTAATTATTAATAACAACTAGTATTAATAGCTTAGGATATTTAGTATAGTTATAATATAGCTTAAAAAGGATATATAAAAGACTAAATAGATATTATAAAATCTTAAGGTTAAATATAGCTTATATATATTGCTCCTTTAGGTATTAATAACTTAGAATAGCCCTATTTAATACTAGTTAAGCTTCTTATATATCTAGGAAGAGGTAATATTATTAGTATAAAATATAACCTAATTATTTATTTAGAAGGTTATATCTTTACAGCCCTTATTATATATTACTTTATTTAAGCTTTTTTTATTATTTTAAGCCTCTCTTATAATATTTAATATTATCTCTAGATATATTTGGCTCTAGCCTTTAATAGGTATCTATTTTAATCCTTATTAAGAGTAATAATAGTATTTTATAAAACATATTCTTTAGCTCTTAGAAGGCCTTCTAAGCCTCTTTTATGAAAATAAATAACATTATAATTATTTATTTTAACTCTTTTTATCTTTCTTTATCCCTTTTATATTTTTTATAAAATTAGATAGTATCTTTATAATATATAAATATCCTTTAATAAATTACTAATAGAAATTAGTAAAGCTTAAAAAGGATTGAATATCTTTAATTTTTTAGGCTTAGGCTAGGATTAAATAGTCTTAATATAATCTAGCTTTATTTTAATACTTTAAAGGCTTATAATAAAGCCTAAAAAAGAGATAGTATTAATACTGAATATATATTTATTTAGCTTTATATATAGATAATACTAATATAGCCTCTTTAATACTATATAGATATATTATTAGTATTCCTTTTTAGATTAAGAATAAATAATAATATTATTTAAATAAGCTATATAATAGGTATTTAATAGGTTATTAAGAGCTTTATTAATATGGGCTTAGAATATTACTAATATATTTATTAATTTAAAGGATATTATTAAATATTTAAAGTATCTATATTAGGGTTAAAATATAGTCTTTTATTTATCTTTTTTATAAGAGAATAAATACCTTAATATAGCTTTTAAATTTATAGATTTACCCTTTTTTTTATTAAATAAAAGTATTCTTGAAGTTTCTTACCCTTTTTTTTAACTAAGGCTATAGATTAATTTATATAATAGTATTTTATTAGGTTCTAGATTAATAGTATAATTATACAATATATCTAATAAAAGTCCTACCTCTTTCTTAAAGAAGATATCCTTAAATTTTTTAAGCTTTTTTAATAGTTTAGGCTCTTTTATAATAATAATAATAAATAATAATATATATATATAAGGTTTTTCTTTTTTAAAGATAAAGAAGAATATATTATTTTTTAAATAATAGCCTTTATTATCTTCTATAATTTAGCTAATCTTATTCTTTACTTATACACTATATAGTATAATCCTATTCTAAACTAATAATAGTTTATATTAACTATTCTATTATAATTAATATTATTAAATAAACCTCTTTAGTAACCTTATTTACTAATAAGCTAAACTTAACGTAATCAGACACCGAGCTGCCACCCCAACCACGGCTGAAAGTGCCTAACAATGCCTGCAGATAAAGCTTTTTCGCGTAACAAAATTCAATATATTTGACTATATAAATAAGGAGAGACTATTTACTAGGGCATTTAAGCCAATTATGGCCTTCTTGATTGCAATTACTGCATCTTGGTGGCCTCCAAGGTTGTTGTGATGATTCCTGTAGCTGCTCAAGCTCTCGAGCTTTTTGCTGCCCTTCAGCACCTGTCAAGCTTCCACCTGCTTGAATAAAGTATCTAGGTGCTTCTCGCTTTCGTTTTCGACGTTGATTTTCCGTACAAAGCTGATGAATCTCTTGCTGTAATAGGATAGTATTCTGCATGGTGATTTCTGCACTTTTAATTACCTTATCAACTGCCTGTTCTACTGTGAAAGGAGAAACTGATTAATGACTTTAGGGACATTTGATTTGCTTCTTTTGCTGATCTATTTGGTAGATATCCGCTGGTGTCTTGCCTGGGCCAAAGGATTGATTACTGTGTGCTGTAGAAGGTGGTGTTGGTGTCTTGAGCTGGATATGAAGCTTTGAAAGCACTCTCTCAGGTAAAAATGGAACTAGGCCAGTTGCTGCAAATCCGCTTCAGATATTTGATGCTAATAGTAGATAAGAGTAAATAAAGAATATTATTCTCCTAATATAGTAGAAGTTTATTAAGTATATAAAAAAGAAAGGATAGTTAGGGGGATTATAATATAACTAAGATATAAATTAGATTAGATAAGATTACTACTTTAAATACTCTTTATTATAGATTCAGGAGATAGCTTTACTAAGTAATATACCTTTTTAAGGAATAAGAGATCTAAGGATAAAGGGGTATATATACCTAATTAAGAGGTAACTATAGATCTAATAAGAGTATAATAATAAAGGTAGAAGGAGAGAGTAGGAGTTTAGAAATAGTACCTTATTAATTATCTAAATAAAAGTAATAAAATAAATAGAGTTAGCTAGTTACTAATCTGCTAGCTAAGAGGTCATATAATAAAAGTCATATAATTGGAACCTAAGGTAGGAATAGAAAGAAGAATATTTTTCTAATAGATGCTAAGACTAATATAAATAGGTTAGCAGACTCCTATATAGATAATTTCTTAATTAACCTTTTGGCAACTCCTAACATACAACATGACACTATATAACCACAGATTTTTGTTAGGTTTTATCTTAGATCTGTTATTTAGAATTAGTCTAAGAGATATTCTAGTTAAAATAATAATATTCTAAGGGAAAGGTTAGTATTATATATTTAAGGCTTACTTAATAAAGTAACTAATTAGAGGGTATACTAACATTTGATTCTTACATTATACTACAGCCTGTCTCTCATTCCCTATTTCTGTCCCTCATAGAAGGTTCCCACTGTTGACTGGTCTATAGCATAACCCACCTGTATATAGATATTAGCTACTAAGCCCTACTGCCTAGGTGGTAGGCAGAGCGTGCATAGTCTCTGACTGAAAAACGCTCTCTAAAATGGAAGAATAATAATAATAATAATAGAGGGTATACTAAAGAATTTATAAAGGTATAAACTTAAGCCTATCTCTTATAAGTTTAGCCTATAATACCCCCTTCCTATATTAATATTTATAGCCTCTTTAGCTAGCTTATAACTATATTAAAGGTTATATAATTAGAGTAACCTAATAAGCCTTTTAGTAATTAAGGGCTTTAATCTTTTTAAGTATATTTATGGGTTCTTATATTAGCTTATTATATTTAACTTATTTAACCGAATATTTATATTAATTCCTATTATATTCCTCTATTAAAATCTTTTTAATATAATATTTTAAATAATTATCAATTAACGTAATCAACCACCGAGCGACGAATACCACCGAGCGACGAATTTTCCTCCACCCTACCACTTCCTTTTTTCAACGCGTCATTTTATCACCACCACTATCAAAAATGCCTTTATCTCAAGAAAACCGAATTCAAATGGCTATTGCAGCTTATAAAAATCAAAAAGTCAAATCAATACTGAAGGCTGCAGAGATTTTTGGGGTGCCTGAGGCTACCCTTCGCGCTCGCCTTAAAGGAAGACAACCACGCGCAGAAACACGTGCTAATGGCCATAGATTAAAGGCTATTGAAGAGGAAACACTTATTCAGCGATTACTAGAGGCAGATAAACGAGGTTTTCCAATTCGGCCAGAGTTTCTGCGTTCAATGGCACAAATATTACTCCGTGAGCGTCTACAGGATCCTACTGCAG